ACCTCTTCCTAATACTCCTCCACCTTGGGCCACTTCTACCCAATCCTACAGGGGTCTTGAACAGTGGAAGAGTTGGCAAAAAAACTGACACCCTGCTGAAGACTTTTCTGGTTGTAAACGCTAGAAACACCTTGAACTGACCTGAGTAAAAGAGCACAGAGCAGAGCGGGACGGTGGTTGGGAGCGCAGGCCTCCGGCTGCGAATGCAACTGAATCGTGGATGCTGGTCCCCTGTTACAAGCTGTGTGGCCTTGCCAACCTGCTTACCTTCTCTTCTCTGTGCCCCGTCCCCTCGCGTGTAAGTGGAGCTATTCACTGCGCTCATTCCATAGGTTTGTGGCGTGGGGCGGGATGGTGACTGTGCCCTGGGCAGTGCCGTAGTGCTCAGTAACCGTGAGTGACGGGCCGGCTCGGTGGTGCAGCGGTAACGCACTGCTCAGTGACGCTGAATCTATATGGAAGGTCACGGGTTTGGTTCTCCATGCCTAACCTGTACATCCCAGGGCATATCTGTGATCTTCATAGGCTGGGAGAACTGGAGGGGGATTGCAGCCAGAGACCCACTTGAGGGTGCTTGGTGCTTGTCTTTCTTTCTTTTTTTTTTTTTTTTTTTGAGAGGATCTTGCTATAGGGCGTGTGCGCTCACCAGAAAGACAGAGAGACAGAAAGTGAGAAATCACCTCCCAGGGGGGATGGCCACGCCTCAATCCCTTCTCCTCCATTCTCCCCTTGGGATCTTGGGCACTCACACACACGCCCCAAGCATGATTTTAAGCCACCAGGCCCAGGACTTGAACCGAGGTCAGCTACATGGGAGTTCAGCGACATAGCCATTATGCTAACTGCTGGTCCCAAGGGTGCTTGTCTTTCTCAGTCTCTTTCTGCATGTGTCTCACTCATGGAAGAAAAATGGTGGTAGCTCATGTGCACTTGTTCGGACAAGTAGAAGGGAGCGCTCACTTCTGTGAGAACATCAGCTCACAGTAGGCTCAAGTCCACGCTCCTGGGTGTCATATGTATTATCCGTGAGTAGCGGCGAAACCCAGGCTCCCCCAGTTCTCCCAGGTGGCAGCAGAGTCAGGGCCATCCCGTGCCTCGTCCTGTGTGCGGCTGCCCCCTTGTGGCAGTGGCGGCACATTGCGGCCTCCTCTTTTTTTCTTTGTTCTCTCCTTTAAAGCTCAGCTTCCAGGGCTACAGGGGTGGAGGGAGCGTTCCCGCCCAGGGACCTTAGAAGCCCCCGGAAGCAGTTAGAGGAAGAGTCACAGCTGAGGAATTCCATTCTCAGCTTTGAACCAAACTAGAACCTTCCATCCTGAGGTGGTCCCGAGAGTGATGCTGGCCAGACCACCCCATCCCACCCACTGGTCCTTCTTGCCTTGAAGGCATCTTCTCCACCTTCACCACACAAGGAATCAGCTGGGGAGCGTTAACCATCCCCGGGCCCAAGCTGCCCACCCACCTCGGGGGTGCCCAGCATCCATGTTTTGTTTTTGTTTTTGTTTTAGGTTTTTGCCATAGGGTGCTTAAGCTCACCAGAGACAGAGGAGAAGTGAGAAATAACCCCAAAGGGGATGGCCACACCACAGTGGCCTTCTCCTCCATTCTCTTCCTGGGGTTTTGGGCACGCACGCGCATGTGCCGTGTGATTGAAGTCGCCAGGTCCTGGACTTGAACCACAGTCAGCCATGTGGGAGTCCAGCTCCTTCACCACCATGCCACCTGCTGGCCCCACATCTCTGTTTAAAAGCTCCTCTGGGTTTTCACTGAGCGAGATTCAGAGTCGAGACACGCCATCTCCATCACCTCCTCCCATTTTCCTTTGGCCCCCCCAAATCAGCCTTCGCCTTGGCCCCACCACAGTGCCCCTCCTGGGCCTGTGCTGGCCAGAGCCATCGGAGACCCTGTGCCCCCTGGGGGCCATCTGACCCCGCTGGCCACCTTCTCCTTGGGGCCCCTGTTCCCCTGACTGGCTTTCCGTCTCCTGTGTCTGGCAGTTCCCTGCTTCCATGTCAGCTGCTTCTCTGGCCAGGGGCTCAGTCAGAGCAGGTGAATGTGTCCAGCCTCAGCCTTGTAAGTCCAGCCACATCCACACCTGAGGCCCCACAGACCCCCAACTGAACACAGCCCCACGTGGTCCTTCCTCATCGAGGCTTGTCACCCGCTTCTCCTCTGGAGCCCATTACCGTCTGCCCAGGACCCAAACCCAAGGCCTAGACCCTCCCATCCTCTCATCCCCCTCTGCCACTGTCGTCTCCGTCCCATGTACTCTCAGGGTGCGGGCTGTCCCCTTCAGCCCCTTCCACAGGTCACCCTTTCTACCTTCTGTCCACCCTCCTCATCTCCCAGAGAGACAGTCCCCAGTGCAAACCTCGTCATGCCACACCCCTCACCTCGCGACTCCCCTCCAGTCCCACCATCTAGCCCCAGCCTGCTTCCCCCGCCCTGTTTCCCACCACACACCCATGGGACCAGGCTAAGCAAGAATCGAAGCCAGACTTGGGGGCCGGGCCATGGCATGGTGGTTGGGGTGGCTGCATCCCACATGGCCGAACATGGTTTGAGTCCTGGACCTGTTGACTTGAAAAATGCCTGATGCGTATACGTGCATGCTCAGAGTCCCGAGAGGAGAATGGCAAAGGGATTGCGGCATGGCCATCTCTCTGGGGGATACTCTTGCACTTTCCCTTTCTCTTTCTGTCTCTCCCCGGCAAGCACATGTGCCATATAGCAGAAACTTAAAAATAAAATAAAAGCCCAGCACGGCTCTGAGCCTGGGCAGAAGCCATCTCCCTTCCCTTACCCTGTTCAGTGTCCGGGCAGCTCTGGGGCAGCCCAGCCTGCGCTCAGCAGGCTTCCCTGGAGCAGGGCTCTATTCCAGCACTTTACAAGCACTCACTCATCTAGTCTTCACAAGGAAACCCCCTGAGGTCAGGAGTGTTATCTCCACAGATGAGGATCAGAGGCACGGAGAAATCAAGTGGCTTGCTCAAGGCCACACAGGAGGGGACAAAGGTCGCATCTCAGTTCACAGGGTCTGGCCCAAAGCCCTTTACTCAGTATGCAGCTTCTCCTTAGTGGAGTGACAGTGACAGTAATAGTAAAGCTGGCCCAGCTGTGAGGGCGCGGACGAGCTGAGAGCTCCGCAGCCCGCTGCAGGTTGGGATCCTAGTAGACCTGAAACCAGGTGCCGGCATGCCCCAAGGCCTGATGGGATGGAGACATGGAGAAGGGGCTCCAGTGTGACCACTGGGGGTGCTCGCTCGCTCGCGCTCTCGCGCTCTCCCTCCCTCCCTCTCATAAGCATACACACCCTCTGGCAATTAAAAAAAGAAAGAAAAAGAAAATAAATTTTTTTAAATAGTAGAAATCATAGTAAAGTTGGCCTGCTGAGTCGGGCGCAGCACTGAGCCCAGGGCCTGGGCCAAGGCTCTGGGCCTCCCCACCCTGCAGTGTTAGCACATGTGGGTTTTTGTCTCTGAGACCCAGCACTAGGCATTAGGAGACACTGACACGTTGGTTCTAGAGGGGGCTGGGTGGTGGTGGCACTGGCAGTGATGCAACTGGACCCCCACAGCAAATGTCCTAGGTTTGTGTCCCGGAACCTCCCTGTACACACCAGGCGTACCTGCAAATGCCCATGACAGATCATGGCCTGGGGACCCTGTTGGAGGTGCCTGTCTCTCTCACACTTTTTCTGTCTCTGTCATGGAAGAAATAAACTTTAAAACTTTTTTTTTTTCTTGAGGGCAGCAGGTGGCATGGTGGTTAAGGTTCTGGGTTCCACATAGCTGATTCCATGGTTCAAATCCTAGACCCTGCAGCTTAAAGTGCTGGCCAGATGTGGTGCAAGCCCAGAATTCCAACAGGAGAATAAAAGAGCAAGGATTGAGCATGGCCAGCCCCCACCCCAGGATAGATTCTCGTGTTTCTTCTCTGTTCCCCTCTGGTGAGTGCATGAGCCCTATTGCAGAAAACTAAGAACAATTGAAGAACATTTTTTTTTCTTTTTTTGAGGAATACAGTTCAGCCCATCACACCCAGAATTTCAGATTCAATTGCTGAAGGTGATGTAGCTAAATGCATTGGGCCGGGAAAACCTTGGCTTCTCATTCTTTTGTTTTCCTGCTTTTGAGAGAGATGAGTAAAAATATTTTTTAATTATTTATTTTATTTTATTTATTATTATTTTAAAATTTGTCATAGGGCACCAGCAAGACAAAGAGGGAAAGTAAGAAAGCAAGCCACCAGGTCTGGAACTAGAACTGCAGTCAACCATGTGGGTGGGGATCCAACACCTTAATCACCATGCCACCTGCTGGCCCCTATAAATATGTTCACTTTCCTCTTCTTTTTTTTTTTTAATAATTATTTTATTTAACTTCACTTATTTTTATTTATTTATTTTAATTTGACCAGTGAGGGACAGAGTGAGAGAGAGAGCAGGAAAGTGAGAAAGCAAGCCACCGGATTTAGGACTCGAACCACTGTCGGCCGTGTGGGAGCTCAGCGCCCTTAACCACCACGCCACTTGCCGGTCCCTTCAGTTTCCTCTGTACTATGTGAAATACAAGAGCAAGGACATTTGTCCAGGCCATGACCCAGCTTCCTAGCACAGTGCCTGGCACCTAGTAAGTGCTAGATAAGTATTCCAGGCAAGTTTATGACGCAAGGGCCCTGGACGCTGGGGAGTGGCAGGGATCAGGGAGACCACGCACGAGGGGCCGGCCGGTACTTGACTCCAGCCAACGGTCAGCCGCCCAGGACACAGACTTAGGTAAATCTGTTTTCCAAGGACAGCCACTCCACAGACACTACGCCGCATGCTGACCAGTCTGCTCTCTGCGGAGGGCTCCTGCCCTGGGCCCGCGGAGCAGGTCTTCCCAGCTCCGGCTCCACCTGGAGTGCTGTGCACTTCCAGAGACACAGCCTAGAGGTGGGGGCCCGAGTGACCCCAGCTGCTCCAGTGACTCAGGGACCGGCTGGTGTGGTTGCCTCTGCAGGAAGGCGACGCACTGGGTGCCATGGAGAAGCTGTGCCGGCAGCTGACCTACCACCTCAGCCCCCACTCCCAGTGGAGGCGCCACCGGGGGCTGCGCAGGCCTGGTGAGTCGCAGGCCCTTGAGGGGTCTGCCCTGCCTCCTACCCAGAGTGAGTCCCTGCCAGGCAGAGCAGGTGACACACAGCACCCCTGTCAGGACAGGGGGACGGGAAGAGCCAAAGAGGTTGTCTTGGAGGGCTGCCTGAAGGAGGTGAGATCAGAGAATTAAGGGGTGCAAGCTTGAGAGGAGCTGGAGGTGGGGGGGGGCAGAGATTGAAGAGTTTCTCAATCCTCAGGTGCTCAAAGTAGACCCTCTGAACTGAACCCCGCCCCAGTCTCTGGGATGGCCCCCAGGGGTGTCCAAACCTCAGCCATGTCCTAGCCCTGGTCACAGTGAGGCCCTTCACGGATATGGCCCCTGAAGAAGATCAGGGGGTGCTGGGTGTGCACATGGGACACAGAACCTGTGGGCGCCACCCAGCAGCACCTAGGAAGGTGGTAGGAGCCTCAAAGGTAGACTTCCCAGGGGAGGAGGAACTTGTGGTTTCTCAGGCTCACCTTCTGGAAGACTGGCCAGGGCCTGCTGCTGCTGCCAGATGGTCCCTGCAGCCCCGCACACTGGGGTGGGAGGACCGTCCTCTCGCCTCCTGGCAGTCCCCACTTTGAGCTGGGAGGGAAGGCCTTCCCCGGGGGTGGGACCCAGTGTGAGGTCTCATGGAGCTTGCAGGCCACCACTCCAGAGGGGCTGAGGGCTCCTCTGTGGGGCTGGAGGGCCGTGGCAACTGGGGTGCTGCAGGACACCGGGCTGGCTCCTTAGGGTTGGAAATGTGAGCTCTGTTGGAGTCTAGGGGCCTCTTCTGACTTCCAGCATGCGCGTGAGCACGCACACACACAGACACACACACACACACACACACACACACACACGCACGCATGCTCGGTCCATTCTCCTTTCAAAACCCATGCAGGTCTGGCCTCCTGGTTCCTGCCAGGAGGCTTCTCATCACAACGGAATGAAATCCAAACGCCCAGTGTGACGGCCCTCGATCCCTGTCATCTGCCTCTTTCCAGCCTCTGGGCCTTTGCACCCGCACCTGCTACCACACTCCTCTGATGGGCCCTCCCGCCAGGCTTCGCTGAGCGGCTGGCACTTTGCCCGCACTTCATGTGTGGTCTGCCTCCACACCACCATCCACGTAAAATGGAAACGGGGATCTTGGCCAGCTTCGTTGCCACCATAACCTCGGTGCCTAGCGCAGTGCGGGGCACACAGTGGGAGCTCAGCAAGGGCACCGTACAGGAACACCAGGCAGATGCCGCTGCTGCCACGTGACTGGCCCCGACCTCCTGGTGCGTGGTGGGCTGGATGTGAACCCAGGTCTGCGGCTCCAAGGCTCGGGCTGTTAACCACCATGCCGTTTTCCTGGTGGTCTCCTTTGTAATGACAGTGACAGAGGCAGCCACGCTTACATGGCACTGAACGCCAGGCAGGGCTCTGCACACTTAACTGTCAGGCCTTGAGAGCTTTTCCTTCCCACTCCCAGGACTGAACCCATCAGAGGCAAAAACGACTGAAGCTGGACAGCATCCCAGGGAGAGGGACTTACCCCGTTTGGCCAGAAGTCCAAGCTGTGCTCCGCAGCTACTGTTCATGGATGCTCAGGATAGGCTAGGTGCCTCCTCCACCTCCCTCTCCTTCCCAGCAGAGGCCCTGAAGTCCGGGGCTGGCCTGGGCCACTTGGAAATACCGAAAAGGGCATCTCGGGACTGTGCCTGGGCCTTGTAAACACAGGGGTGGTGGAGAGGGCGCACTGGCCATCGGCATAGGAGAAAGAGACGGAGTGGCAGAGGGCAGGAGGGGCGCGAGGGGCAGGAGGGGCGAGCAGCTCCCTCTGGGCCGAGCCCCGTGCCCCCATCTGTGGTCCTCAGCTCTGCCCCCTCTGTGGGGAAGACCCTCTGGAGAAAGGGCATCAGAAACCCTTCATGCCACCTGCAGAGCAGCTCAGCTGCCACCCAAGGGTGGGGACACAGGATGCTCAGCCCAAGCAGTTAGCGACGGCAGCAAGCATTGAGTCTGCGTCCCGTCCAGCCCTGGCTCGGGCCAAGGCAGGCGGTATTCACTCACTCAGCAGCAACCCTAGGGGCTTATTGGCTCCCTTTCTTGTGGCAGTGAGGCACAGGGAAGGTAACTCCCTACTAGAGGTCAGAGTAGGAAGAACAGAGCTAAGAGGCAAACGCAGGCATCCTGCAAAAACACGTGTGCTATAGGAAGGGCAAGCCCTAGGCCTTAGGCCTGGCCAGCTGGTTCCGGCCAGGTCCAACATGGAGAGTTGCAGGACACTGGGGCCCCTGGCTTCTCCCCCCACCTCTCCCACCCAGGTCTGCAGTTTTGTAAAACTGATCCCAGGTCAGCAGGCTGTGTAGACTGGCTCTGGGGTGGTAGCACTGCAGAAAAGCCTACCCCTTGATCCCTGCTTGTCTCCTTTTGCCTTCAGCCTCAAGGCTGTCCTGGCCGGGAGCCCTCCAGACAACACGGTGGACCTTTCAGGCATCCCGCTGACCTCCCGGGACCTGGAGCGGGTGACCAGCTACCTGCAGCGCTGCGGGGAGCAGGTGGACAGCGTGGAGCTGGGCTTCACGGGCCTCACAGATGACATGGTCCTGCAGCTGCTGCCGGCCCTCAGCAGCCTGCCCCGCCTCACCACACTGGCGCTCAACGGCAACCGGCTAACCCGGGCCCTGCTGCGCGACCTCACCGACACCCTGAAGGACCCCAGCAAGTTCCCCAGCGTCACGTGGATTGACCTGGGCAACAACGTGGACATCTTCTCCTTGCCCCAGCCCTTCCTGCTCAGCCTGCGCAAGCGCTCCCCCAAGCAGGGCCACCTTCCCACCATCCTGGAGCTGGGCGAGGGCCCGGGCAGTGGGGAGGAAGCCCGGGAAGAGACAGTGGGCCAGGAGGACCCTGGAGGGGGCCTTGCTGCACCAGCCAAGGACCTCCACGAGGGCCAGGAGACAGCAGCTCAGACGTGACACAGAAGCGGGGACCTCAACAGGGAGTCCTCATGGGGTGGGACGGCTGAGACAGGTTAGGGGTACCTCTTCTCGGGAGGCTCAGGCTGAAAACTGGCTTGAATGCTCCCTGCTCCCTCCTCCCCCACCACCACAGAAAGGCAGCCCTAGCACCTGGGAGAGGGGGCCTATTTAATACTTCTCTTTGATCCTGTCTTCCCCACCCCCTTATAAATCCATTCTTGCCTTCTGACTTCTGGAAGTGGCTCATGAGGCTCCAGGCACCCCTCAACTCAGCCTCAAAGGTGTGGGAGGGCCTTATAACCCAGAGATGCTAATGTGATACTGGGCACTCCCAGAAAAGCTGCATAGGTGGGCCCCTGCATCGAGCACTCTCCAGGTCTGTCTACCTGGGAGAAGAAACTCCAGCCAGATTATTAGGCAAGTCTCCAGTTCAGGGAGACGGATCCTTACTGAAACCACTCTCACCTGGAGAAGATCTGGGCTGGGTGCCAGAGCCTAACTCATGCCAAGCTAAGGGTGGACAAAGATGGTCTACCTCCAGTGGAGCCTCAGGCTCCTTGGAACCATTTCCCCAGCTTGACATTTGAGGCCCATGTTGCTACCCACACCCCTGCCCAAGGGACAAGCTACCATACTGTCCCCGTAACAGAGCACCCAGTGGTGCCATGTGGCAGGACCTACGTGCCCACACCCCCAGGCGTGCATGCAGGCCACTTAACTCCTGTAGCCCGTCTTAGAAAACTACCACTGATATTCCCCAGGGCCTTTAGGGACTATGGCAGAATGACTGTCCTCACCTGGACAGGCTTCAGAACCCTCTTCTGATAAAAATCCCTTCTGGGTCCAAGATCACAAACCAAGTCCAGACTTTTTGCCATAGGGTGTGCGCTCAGTGAGACACTGCCCACAGGGCAACTGGCCACGCCATAATCCCTTCTAGGGCTTTGGGCACAGGCAGACTCAGCGTCTTTCAAGCCACCAGGTGTGGGACTTGAAATTGTTTGGCAATATAGAAGTCTACTACCATAACCACACTACCAGCCCCAACCCTTGGCTGGGAGAAGGGGGAAATTAACTCTAGTCTGGGAAACTTACTTCAGTCAAGAGTATTCCTCCCAAGTATTCTCAATGAAAAAGCCCTAAGGCCAACACTGTCAATTAACTGGCCTTACCAAGCACAGCCAGGAAGGGGCTGGACTGCAGGGCCTTGCAGGCTGCTTAACCAAGGGCAGAGCCCAGAGACAGCTGCGCTCAGGAATGAGGTGTGTGGATGCCTTAAATGCTTTGGAATTTTGCCCTCAGTCCAGTTGTTGAGAGGCTGACTGTTCAGTTTACAAGTCCAAGTGCTAATGCCCCACCACAGTAGTCCAAGCTACCTTTTTCTTCAAATACACACATTTTCCAAACCAAAACCAAAGACCATTCTTTATTTCAGTAATAGTTGATGGTAACTACATGAGAACTTTATTTGTGGGTGGGAGTGGAGATGAACAGTTTGTAGCTTAAAGAACTCACCCCTTCTTAGCCAATTTACAAAAGTAAATTAAGTTGTCAGACAAGCTGGCAGGGGACAATGCTCAAGAATTTAAGCTAAGGAATTTAATGATATGAAGTTCACTAGTCCTTGGGGAAAAGTACATCTTTCGGCTCCCTTGAGATGAATGGAGCTTCTGGTACCAAGGCCAGCATGTCTCTGTACCGAAGCTGAAGCCATTTACGTTTTCAGAACCCAAGTCAATGGCAGCCACTCATTGGGACTTCACCATACTCCGAGGTCACAGCCTGCAAAGAAACTAAATTTCAGTCTCTGAAAACGGGCTGGAATGCTCCCTGCTCCCTCCTCCCCCACCACCACAGAAAGGCAGCCCTAGCACCTGGGAGAGGGGGCCTATTTAATACTTCTCTTTGATCCTGTCTTCCCCACCCCCTTATAAATCCATTCTTGCCTTCTGACTTCTGGAAGTGGCTCATGAGGCTCCAGGCACCCCTCAACTCAGCCTCAAAGGTGTGGGAGGGCCTTATAACCCAGAGATGCTAATGTGATACTGGGCACTCCCAGAAAAGCTGCATAGGTGGGCCCCTGCATCGAGCACTCTCCAGGTCTGTCTACCTGGGAGAAGAAACTCCAGCCAGATTATTAGGCAAGTCTCCAGTTCAGGGAGACGGATCCTTACTGAAACCACTCTCACCTGGAGAAGATCTGGGCTGGGTGCCAGAGCCTAACTCATGCCAAGCTAAGGGTGGACAAAGATGGTCTACCTCCAGTGGAGCCTCAGGCTCCTTGGAACCATTTCCCCAGCTTGACATTTGAGGCCCATGTTGCTACCCACACCCCTGCCCAAGGGACAAGCTACCATACTGTCCCCGTAACAGAGCACCCAGTGGTGCCATGTGGCAGGACCTACGTGCCCACACCCCCAGGCGTGCATGCAGGCCACTTAACTCCTGTAGCCCGTCTTAGAAAACTACCACTGATATTCCCCAGGGCCTTTAGGGACTATGGCAGAATGACTGTCCTCACCTGGACAGGCTTCAGAACCCTCTTCTGATAAAAATCCCTTCTGGGTCCAAGATCACAAACCAAGTCCAGACTTTTTGCCATAGGGTGTGCGCTCAGTGAGACACTGCCCACAGGGCAACTGGCCACGCCATAATCCCTTCTAGGGCTTTGGGCACAGGCAGACTCAGCGTCTTTCAAGCCACCAGGTGTGGGACTTGAAATTGTTTGGCAATATAGAAGTCTACTACCATAACCACACTACCAGCCCCAACCCTTGGCTGGGAGAAGGGGGAAATTAACTCTAGTCTGGGAAACTTACTTCAGTCAAGAGTATTCCTCCCAAGTATTCTCAATGAAAAAGCCCTAAGGCCAACACTGTCAATTAACTGGCCTTACCAAGCACAGCCAGGAAGGGGCTGGACTGCAGGGCCTTGCAGGCTGCTTAACCAAGGGCAGAGCCCAGAGACAGCTGCGCTCAGGAATGAGGTGTGTGGATGCCTTAAATGCTTTGGAATTTTGCCCTCAGTCCAGTTGTTGAGAGGCTGACTGTTCAGTTTACAAGTCCAAGTGCTAATGCCCCACCACAGTAGTCCAAGCTACCTTTTTCTTCAAATACACACATTTTCCAAACCAAAACCAAAGACCATTCTTTATTTCAGTAATAGTTGATGGTAACTACATGAGAACTTTATTTGTGGGTGGGAGTGGAGATGAACAGTTTGTAGCTTAAAGAACTCACCCCTTCTTAGCCAATTTACAAAAGTAAATTAAGTTGTCAGACAAGCTGGCAGGGGACAATGCTCAAGAATTTAAGCTAAGGAATTTAATGATATGAAGTTCACTAGTCCTTGGGGAAAAGTACATCTTTCGGCTCCCTTGAGATGAATGGAGCTTCTGGTACCAAGGCCAGCATGTCTCTGTACCGAAGCTGAAGCCATTTACGTTTTCAGAACCCAAGTCAATGGCAGCCACTCATTGGGACTTCACCATACTCCGAGGTCACAGCCTGCAAAGAAACTAAATTTCAGTCTCACTTTGCACTCTTTCAACCATCACGCACAGCATCAAGGACATCTTCAGAAAACCATAGGTTCACCACTATTCCATCTGCCGGTAATTCCAGCTGTTCTAGGGGAATCATCATCTGATGTCCCGTTCCTCAAATCGAGTTTTAACCAGAATTATCCTCCACTAGGGCCGCTGTCCAGATCCAGGCTTACCTTCTCCTGGGCCGAGTTGTGGCCACTGCCAACTCGCACTCTGCACCCCAGCACTCAGGTTCCACAACCTGGGGGAAGAGAGGTGCACATACCTCAGACAGACCAGACACACACAGGGCAGGCGTCCTCACAGCCAACTAAACCTGCTAACTGGGGCTCACACTTAAGAGTACCCAAGACCGGGACCAGCAGTTAGCGTAATGGCTATGTGGCCAGACTACCTTATAGTCGACTGTGGTTGAGTCCTGGACCCGGTGGCTTAAACTCACGCCAGGCACATGTGCCCCAAGATCCTGAGAGGAGCATGGAGAAGTGATCATGGCGTGGCCATCCCCCCGGGTGGTGATTTCTCACTTTCTTTCTGGCAAGTACACGTGCCCTAGAGTACCCCAAGACCTTATGGGGGATACATCTTTATCAATTACTGAAGTCTCCAGTTCCCAATAGTTTCTTTGGTGAGTGACAACTATCACTGAGTCACATTTTCGATTTCAAAAAGCCCAAGATTAAGCAGCCAAGAGGCACACAGGACAAGCTCTCTTAATGACTAGGAAAGACACTATTCCACTGCTACCACGAGCCAGTCACCTTTGGGACGTTGTCGGTCAGGCCCAGGGCTACTGACACAGGTGTCAGGCTAACCAAACGAAAACTCCCGCTTTCCGACCTGATAGCTAGGGACCGTCAAGCACCTGCCTCCCACACAGGCTTACCTGGCAGACCAGCAGTGCTCCTGGCTCCAACACTCGGCACCTGGCGAGCATTTGCTCACTCGCGACCTGTGTGAACACAGCAATGAGTTCACAGCAACCTAGCGGTAAACCTCACCCCTGGCACTAGGTGCTGAGGGCTTGTTGACTGCATCAGCCAGGAGTAGTTATCGTCAGTTATCGCTTCTGACGGCACTTCCTATTAGTGATTTCATCAGAGCAGTCAAGCACCTCGCCACTGTCCAGCCCAACCAGAGAGCTGGAGGTCACCTGACACTAAGCTAAAACTGCCTTCACACCAGCCACCGCAATCATTTTCCAACTAAAAGGATGGCTTCTGAGCGCAGCTTTGGTTTAAGTTGGTTGTACGTTAGGGATATGGCTGGAGCGCTCCCCAGGTCTTGGTCGTACCTGCAGTTCCACATTATAAAGTACATAAAACCAACATCTGCAAATCACTTTCTGTGTATTTAAAAGAACAAAATTACAACCCCTCTAATTACAAAATTATAACTTTACAATTACAAAGTTATAACAAGTTACATATATTAAACCCCACCTAGACAAGGCCTGAACCTCATGGCAGGGCGCTGCTCCTGTCTTCAACACCTTTCAGTGAGTCAGCCATCTGAAACCTGGGAAATAAAAACAAGAATATAGAGCCGATTGCATAACTGTTTTAGTCTCAGGACTGCGATCAGAAAGGCATAAACGTCAGTTTCCGCTCCTGACGGCACTTCCTAACACTACTGTCATCCAGTCTCCCTCCTAGGCCCGTTACGGTCCTCCCACGTGGGTACCCAAAGCGCAGGCTGACCCGGCCTTACCAAATCTTTCTGGGTCTGAGTTCTCTCCAAGACGGGCCGGGAAGTAGAGCCCCGGCCCTCGCGGACCTCAAGCTCGTGCGGCGGTGGCCCTGCAGGAAGTAGAGCCGCGGCCCGTGAGCTCGGCCCAGGGCGGCCGGACCCGCCCGGAGCGGCGCTGCGGGACTCCCGAACGCCCCGCCATCGCGCCCGCCAAGCCCACGTGGGCGCCGTGGCCGGGAAGCCAGGCCGTTACCGCACCGCCCCGCGCCGTGCAGTTCGGCCTCCCGGGAACGGATTCCAGGAAATCAGACTCGCTCTTTAGTTGCCCCTGCAGGGTCCCGGACACAGAAGCCACACACCTGCATGTCAGCTACAGCGGAAAGGTCGCGCCTCCGCCGCCCCAAGCCCTTAAGGAGTTGGGACATCCCATTCTTCACAGAGGGAGGGGACGCAGGCGCAGACTCACCGGAATGCCCGCCCACTTACAGAGGTAGAGCGGCCGCACTAGCAACGGCGCCCCCCTCCTACTGAGCCGTGGTCTCTTCCACGGCCCAGGGGATTCTGGGTCTTCGAGCCCGCGGCGGGTTCCAGGGCGCCTGCGCGACGGCTGCTGCGCGGGCTGCTAGCGCCGGGCTGCGCCCCCTGGGTCCCCACCCAGCTGCTCCCCAAGGGTGTGCGACGTTGATCCGTTTTTCAGTTTCTCTGTGTGAGCTGCTGATTGCTCTTTTGAAGAATGGAGATACCAGTCCCCCGCGTTGGGAGGAGTTTGTGGAATAACGCACCTGAAGGTCTGCGGAGCCCGAGCACGCAGCGACCATGCACGAACCATTCCTAGTTCTAGAACACCTTGCCAGTCTGCCCTCTCCCCACAGCTGCTCCAGAAATCCAGGAGCACCCCAAATCCCCGCGCATTGACAGCCCTCAGCGCTTTCTCTAGAACCCCCTCCGAGGAGGGAGCAGATCACTTCCAACCTCTCCTGCCCGGAGGGTAAAAGTCTGCCTGCCTTGTCCCCCAGCCACCCCTCTATCTCATCTGCATGGAAAGCTCTCCCCGCGGATGCTCTCAGCGTAGGACGTGCTCGGGTCTTCTGCTTAAAAGTATTGCCAGTGCGCCAGCAGGTGGCGTAATGGTTACGTCACTAGACTCCCACGTAGGTGACCGTGGTTCTTTTTTTCTTATTTTTTTTTTTTAAGAGATCTGAAGTGATTTTACTTTTATTTCCTTCACTTTAAGCCAATCATGAAATGTCACAGTGATTTCTGGGGTGGTGGGTGGAAGGACATTGTGTGGAGAACCATGGGTGCTGTGGCCCAGCAGCCGGGCGGGTGGCCTTACTGGGGCAGCTGGAGGAGCACCGACTGCCCCCACCCCCACCCCTGGCCGGTAGGTGATGTTCCGAGAGCACGGGAGCTGGTCCGCAATGTCCTCCGCCGCCTCCAGCTTGCGCAGCTCGATGAGACCGTCGCCTGCTGTGGCCAGCGAGTTGGCGATGAGCTCGGCTGCCCTGGAGTCACCCTCGGCAGAGATGATGGCGGCCTTCTTCTGTCAGCCTTTTCCACTGCGAATCTGGCCCTCTGCACTTCCCGCTGAGCCACCTGTTTGGTTTCCACTGCTTCTGTGAACTCCTTCCCGAAGGTCAAATGCGTCAAGGACGCGTCATCCAGGATGAGTCCAAAGGTTGCTGCTCGTTCCCTAAGGTTATCGTTCACCTGTCTGGAGACCAGCTCCCTCTGGGAGATTAGCTCTCCAGCCTTGAAGCCAGCCACCACAGACTTGAGGATCTCGGTAGTGATGGACGGCAGCTCATGCTCATCATAGTCCTCGCCAATGCTGGTGAAGATGTGAGGAAGCTGGCTGGCCACGGCCGGCAAAGGATGCGCAGCCTGATGTTGACATTCTGTAAATCTTTGCTGCCAGTGATGAGCGGCACGTTAGGCAGCCGAGAGCGGCAGTCTAAGATAATTGACTTCTGTACCCAGGGGATGAGAGAGTCCCTTTCCCGACCACAATGTCCTGTACTCCGCGGAATGGGTCGAAGATGAGGGCTCTGTGCCCAGCATCCACATTATATAAGGCGGAGTTCACCACGCCCCTGCAACAGCTAAGGCCAGGCCGAACTTGCCCATGGACTCAACACTCTGGCAGTCATACTTCCTTCTGTTGGACCCACTCGCACCTGCTTCCACTCTCGGTGACCGTGGTTCTAGTACCAGACCGGCAGCTTGAAAGTCACGCGGGGCTTGTGCGCACCCAAGATCCAGAGAGGAGAATGGAGAAGCGATTACTGTGTGGCCATCCCCCTGAGGGGTGATTTCTCGCTTTCTGTCTCTGTCACTGACTCTCCGGCAAGTGCACACACACTATGGCAAAAATCTCTCTTAAAAGAAAATAAAGAAATACTGTTCATGGGCCAGCAGGTAGTGTGGAGGTTAAGGCACCTAGATCCCTCATAGCAGACTATACCTGGACCTGGCAGTTTGAAACTCCCGCTGGGCGCGTGCCTGCATGCCCAAAATCCCTAGAGAGGAATAGAGAACGGATTGCAGCATGCCTTACCCCCTAGGAGGTGATTTCTCATTTTCCCTCTCTCTGTCTCTCTCTGGCAAGTGTTCACACCCTATGGTTAAAACCTTAAAAGAAAAATTCTGCTGTGTGTTCATGCATGCCTAAAATCCTAAAAGGAGAGTGGTAGAAAAGGAATTCCCTTTCACCCTCTCCCACCACCAGCACACATGTCCTATAGAAAGAAAAAAAATTCAGTCCATGCGTCCATTTCTCTTTTTGACTAGAGGACACATGTGCTTGCCTGAGAGAGACGGGGAGAAAACACCCCTTATGGGGTGTGGGCACACCGAAATCCCTTCTCCCCCATTTCAACAGCCTGTCTGGATTTGGGGCATGCATGGACATGTGCCCGGTGGCTGGGATTCAAACCCAGTCAGCCACGTGGGATCCAAGTCCCTTCAACCACGAGGCTGGCTTCACACACATCTTATACACACGCATTATACCCAGAAAAAGCAGTTCATTTTACTGAAAAAAAACTGGAAAGGCAATCATGAGACAACCACTTCTGAGATACTCTCAGAAATAAATGTAAGATTTTAATGGAAGAAGGGGACTTTTAGCAAGAGCCAAGTCCAGGGGTCAAACACAAGGGCCCTCCACCAGTGTGAGAAAGTGCTAAGGAGGGCCAGGTGGGCATCAGAGGGTAGAAGATGAGGTGTCTGGGAATGTTTGGGCAAATCGTGGCAGGCTTGGGAGGCCAGCTGTGCCATTTTGCAGGCACCGGGCGCCTCTTAGGCCTTCAGAACCCAGAGGTGATGTGTCTGTCTCGTGTCCGAGGAAGGCCCCTCTGGCTGCCCTGCAGAGACCGCTTGGCGTGGGAATGAGCAGGAAGCCCAGCGAGGAAGACGGCGATGGTCTTGAGTCGGAGCTAATCTGAAGAGTTCAAAGGAGAGTAGGTTGGAGAGACACAGTGGAGGTGGCTTCAACAGGTGACTGGTGGCGGCAGAGGAAGAGAGAGGAGAGGTGGCTGTGTTAGTCCGGGTCCTCTGCCTCCTGTCCGCCATGACAGCAAGCTCACATGGCACTTCAGCCAGCGGCCTGCACCTAGGAAGAGTGGGGCTAGGGCTGGGGGGCTGCAGCTGAGGGTCCTCAACTTCTAGTGCCTTCACACTGTGAGCATAGCAATGTGCAGATGTTACCAGCCTAAGGGGGCCCCGAAACAGCTCAAATAATGTTTGCAGAAGAGTTCGTTGTGGAAAAAATATTTGTATTTGCCACCAAAATTCACTGGGGTCCCAGAGCTGGCAGGGGTAGCTGGAAAGGATCCCCGCTCTGTCCTGCAGGCCTCCTGCTGTGTCCGGGCCATCAGCGAGTCTGGAGTGGCTGGAGGGGCAGGTGGTCTTCCTCCGTGGCCCTGTCCTCCCCAGGTTGGGAGGCCAGGGTGGGGTTCTTTGTCTTCTTCATCGTGCCTGTAAACAGGGTGGAGAACACTGTGGCTTGGCCCCAGGGGCAGGTGCCAGGGACATGGGAGGGGGCCACAGCCCCCGCAGGAAAGTACATCATGCCCTGTGGATGGCAGTTGACCCTAGGGCCCGCAGTCCCTCTCCCTGCCTCCTTCCAAGAGCATCTTCTGAAGCCTTGCCATGTGCAATCAGGACACCTCCCAGCACGAGCTCTCAGGCCCCCGAGGTGACAGGCGAGGGTGTCAGAGCTCAGAACAACTGACACACTGACACACGCTGAAGAGCTGGCAGAGGTGGTGGGTGGGGAGACAGCTAGGAGCTCAGGGAGGGAGGAGGCCCCTCTCCTAGAAGTGTCAGATCTGGCCACCCAGGGGGGAGGGAGGGCTCTTCTGACAGACAAATGCCAAAAGGAGCAAAGGACGAGAGCATTGCGGGGCCCAGGTGGCGGCCCAGGGGTAGCACAGCTGGGCCCATATGGGCAAGGTCACCCGGGGTCACACTGCCCTGAGCAGGTGTGGTGCACGTGATGCAAGCTCTGGGCCCGGCTGAGGCTGGGGCTGGATCATAGTGTGAAGACCTATTGGGAGCCTGTCTCTTTCTATAAATAAATAAATAGGGACCAGCAGTTAACGTAATGGCTATGTCGCCAGACTCCCACGTAATCAACCGCAGTTCGCGTCCTGGACCCGGTGGCTTAAAACTCACGCCGGGCGCGTGTGCGTGTGTGCCCAAGATCCCGAGAGGAGACTGGAGGAGAAGGGATTGCGGCGTGACCACCCCCCCTGGGGGGTGATTTCTCGCTTTCTGTCTCTCTGTCTCTCTCTGGCTGGCTGGCGAGCGCACGCGCCCTATAGCAAAAACCTCTCCAAAAAAAAAGAAAAAAAAAAGGACATGGCGCACTGCAGACCGACTGTTGTGCAGGGAGGTTGGGGGTTGGGCTGGACATGGCGGGCCTTGCCCACCATGCTGAGGGGTGTGGCCCTGCAGGAACGGGAGGCACCAGGCAGTGCCTTGTCCTTGCAGACAGTAGCCACTGGTGGGATCGGAGAGGGAAAGCCTGGAGCACAGAGGCTTGTGAGGTTCCAGGTACAGGCTGGCCCACCCTTTAACAAAACTCATTCATTCTCCACTAGGAGACAGAGAGAGATAGGGGAGGACACAGGAGAAATGGGGGCAGGGGTAGAGGGGTGGGTGCCCCATAGGTCAAGGACACTTGGCACCGGGTGGCAGAGCTGGTGAGGGTGGGCAGAGAGCCTCGAGCCTCCCACCTGGGTGGAGGGGGTGTGGGTGCACGCACGTGACCTGGCAAAGCAGCCCCAAGGCCGTTCCCACTGGGGACTTGGAGACAACAGCCCCAGCAGCCTTAGGTTGTGGGCCTGAGGTGTGGAGTCTGGCCCGATGTACAGGATGGGAGACGCCATGAAAAGGCAGGGAGGAGAGCTACGGAATGTGAGGTCAAGGTCAGGGACATGAGCTGGGAACCCAACAGGCTGTGGAGTAGCAGTGGCCAGAGAGCCACCCTACAGCAAGGCCATGGGTAACTAGGCCGTCTGGGGAAGGGGCATGAGGGCCACAGACACAAACAAGGAACATGGGTTAGAAAAGAAAGGAGAGAGGACCAGCAGGTGGTGTGGTGGTTAAAGACACTCCCACATGGCCAACCATGGTTGGAGTCCCAGACCTGGTGGCTTGTTTTCTCACTTTCCTCTCTCTCTCTGTGTGTGTCTGTATGTCTGTGTGTGTGTGTGTGTGTGTGTGTGTCTCTGGTCAAATTAAAATGAATTAATGAATGAATAAATGAAATTAAATAAAATAATTTTAAAAACAAAGAAAAGAAAGGAGAAAAGAAAGGGGAAACCTAAGAGGCAGGAGGTGGGAGCTACTGAAGGTTCCAGAAAGAGAGGGGATGCTGTGTAGAGAGCTAATGCTCAAAAAAGCCTGATGGGGGCAGGGGGAGTTGGTCTTAGTGGAGGTGGCAGAGTGGGGACACAGGACTGTCACTGCACTAGAATGGAAAGGACAGGGTGGGAGAGCAGGAGAGGCCAAGGCAGTCCTTCTCCGCAGGGGGCGGGGCCTGGATGTGAAGGGGCGGGGCTTGTATAGTAATAGAAAGCCCCGGGTCAGCAAAGCTGGCCATGAGGGCCCCAAGAGTTGGGCCAGCAGGAGGTGTGGTGGTTAAAGGCGCTGGAGGGAACAGCAGGTAGCGGAAAGGCCATGTCACCAGACCCCCACGTGGTCGACCGCGGTTCGCGTCCCGGACCCAGTGGCTTAAAACTCACGCCAGGCGCGTGTGTGTGCATGCCCAAGATCCGGAGAGGAGAATGGAGGAGAAGGGATTGCGGCGTGACCATCCCCCCTGGGGGGTGATTTCTCCCTTTCTGTCTCTCTGTCTCTCTCTGTCTGTCTGGTGAGTGCACGCACCCTATGGCAAAAAGCTCTCAAAAAAAAAAAAAAAGAAAAGAAAAGGAAAAATAAAAAAGGTGCTGGAGTCCCACATGGCCAACCACAGTTCAAGCCCCAAACCTAGCAGCTTGCTTTCTCACTTTTTCTCCCTCCCCCAGGTCAAATTTAAATAAATACAATAAATACAGTTAAATAAAATAATTCTTTAAAAAAAAAAAGTCATCACCCATGCTGTAGACTGGGCTGGGGGTCTTTCCTAACTGTCCGCTGCTGGGTCCCCTGGCTCAGCCTAGTCCCGACTGGGGATAGGCCCTCCACAACCAATCAAATGAACAGAGCACGACTGACTAGAGCCCAGGTGGGGAGTGAGGAGGTGTGATGGCTGGAGGGGGCACTCCCAGCCTCTGAGTTTCCCAGCGCCCAGCCTGGAAATAAGCCAGCGAAGGGAGGGGATGGAGAGGGAAAGGGGGGCACCATGGTAGGGGCAGTCCCTATAATAGGGGCTGGCACGGGGAGCTGGCTCAGTGCCCAACAGTGACAGCTACTTGAGGGAAGCCGGAGCCATTTGGAAGACTGTGGTTTGTTCCCGGTCGGCCTGCACACACTGGGTGTGCGCGCCGTCATCCTAGCTGGCTGGAGAGGCTGGCAGGGGCATTGCTACCTGAGACCCTACTGAGGGTCTCTCTCTCTCACGCAAGAAAGAAACTTCAGGGGCCAACTGGTGGTTAAGGTGCTGGACTCCTATATGGCTGACTGTGGTTCGAGTCCTAGACCTGGTGGCTTGCTTTCTCACTCCCCCCCCCCCCCATCGTATCTCTCTGCATCTCTCTGGTCAAATTGAAAAGTGATAATAATAAATAAAATTAAATAAATTTTTAAAAAAGCAAAACTTCAAAATAAAATAAAGAGGAGCTGGCATAGAACGGGTCTCTCTCTCACACACACATGCAAGCACGCTCCGCGGCCACTCACCAGGAACGCCTGCCCGCGAGGGCTCCTCACACACAGTAGGCAGCGTCTGCTCCCAGGCAGCCCAGTTCACTTCCTCCACCCTGAGGGCGACAGAGAAGCTCTGAGACCCTGGAAGGCCAGTGGTCCAGCCTGCCCAGTGGGGAGGGTGCCAATGCTCTCATGGACACCAGGAGGACATCACCCCTCTGCCCTTCTCTGCAGGGGCCCAGAAAGAAAGGGGACGATGTTCAGAGAGCAAGCCCTCAGAACAGCCTCTGAGAGGGGGAGGGAGGAGCTGGTCTTGATGAAGGCGGCAGAGTGGGGACAGCAGGAGCTGTGGGGAGGCCTCTCACCATCCCTCCCGGAGCCGCTGGGCCAGATGCTCTCAGGGAGGGACAGAGGCCCATTGCCCAGAGCAGCCAGAGGGGAGGAATTCAGACACCCAAGCCCTCCCCCTCTCCCTGCTCAGGCTCCCTCACAAACACGCAGCACCCCATCTACCCTGGGCAGGAAGGGGTTACAGCCCTGAGAGCAGGCAGGAGAATGGGGGGCTGGCACTAGGGCTGACCAGTTAGGGCAAGGCTAGTGAGCTGGCAGCCAGGCCTCTGGCTTCGGGGCCTCCCACTGTACCAGTCAGGTCAGGAGGGACCAGGGACCACCAGGGAAGGGCCTTCGGTTTAAGCCACAGAGACAGAGCCACAGGCAAAGGGCAGCCTTTCTGAACTCATTTCTCACCCCAGCCTTTCCCACAGCCCTGCTCCTGGCAGCTGTGTCCCGGCGTTCAGAAGGCTGTCCTTACTGCCGTGGTCCCACGCCGCCCTCCCCTGCCCACCTCACCTGAAGCACCAGCGCTTATCAGGGGTCCCATCCGGCCTGGTGCCGACTGTCAGCATCACCCCCGCACGCTGCTTTTTCCTTCTGCACCACCAATAGCCGTTCTCCATCTCCAGGACAGAGATGGCTTTCTGGGGACAAAGGATGCATCAGAGAGAGCTGCCTGGAGGAAGAGGCACACAGGGCCAAGGGAGCAGGAAGATGTGTCTCAGCACTTTGCAGCATAACCCAGAGTTCCCTAAGCACCCAGGTGGGAGTCTGGCGCCAACATTTGGTTACCTGTGTGGTCTGAGGCCCCCAAGCTCCCTGAGTCTCATTCTCCCCATTTGCGGACTGAAAATAATGGCCTCAGACGTTGAGAAGTCCGTCCTTAACAAGGGCTCCGTAATTACTGGCTCTCACATGGTTACTGGCTCCAGAATTCCACACCACCAGGTACAGAGCGCCATCTGCCCCATCCCACACCGGCTGCCCGCTCGCACGCCAGAGAGGTGGGTGGGCGTGGAGGTTGCAGACAAGGGCACCGAGGCTCAGAGAAGAGTCTCGACGTTGGCTTACCCGGTGGCTCAGCAGTGACATGGCAGTAGAGTCCAGCGTCCCGGGCAAGGGTCTCCCTGCACCGACTGCCCAAGACCACCCCGACCCTTCTCTGAAGAAGCAGCTCTGGCTTCCACTGCAGCCTTCTGCAGGGATTCTGCCCCAAAGACTACCCTCCCATGCCAGCCAGGCCGGCCAGGATACCACATCCTGCCTCCCCCACCAAACTGGTCCCATGTTACATTCCGCCAACGCAAAGTGGGAGCTCCGTGAGGGCAGGGACCTGTCTTGTCCTCTGCTGGGTACACAGCACCTGAACTGTGCCAGCCCTACCGATCGCAGATCCTCGAGGAACACTCGGTAATTACAGTGAGGACGCGGGCTGAGTATCCCTTACCCAAAATGCTTGGGACTTCAGATTTTACACTATGTGCAGGTTCAAAATAAGATATCTTGGGATGAGACCCAAGTCTAAACAGGAAAACTATGTATATGTCACATATGCCTTACACACGTAGCCTGAAGGCCAGATTTTACGCTATTTCTATATTGCAGCGTTTTCAGCATAAACCATCAGGTGAGGTCAGGCGTGGAATGTTCCACCTGTGGCACTCAGAAAGTTTTGGATTTTGGAGCATTTGGGATTTTTCCAAAGGCTTGATAAACATGTCAGGCATGTGTGCATGGATGCTCCAAATCCTAACAAGATTGAGAAAAATGAAAGAAAAAGAGATTGTAGTGTGACCATTCCCCATTGAAGATCCCCTGTCTCTCTCTTTCATCTCTCTTTCTCTGGCAAGCACGTGCACCCTCTGGAAATAGTTTTTTTTAAATAGTAAAATTATTTTAAAAAGAGAATTGATTACGTAACATACACATTAAGAGGTGGATCAAAAATAAATAAGTAAGTAAGTCTCTCCAGAAGAGAATGACCAGCTATGGCGATTATCACTAGGTGATTTTAGCAGCTAGCAACTGCTAGAACTACAGTGTAGGAGGAAGACCATTATGCTGAGAAGATGCCTCTTGATAAAGTCATATCCAAAGTTCAAGCGGGAGAAAGACGCTGTGCCGCTGAGTGAGAGACAGAGTGCGACGTGAGGTGGTGGGGTGAAGGTGGAGTGGTGGGGTGGATCTGGGAGCTCCTACATGTGGAATTTTCGAGTGCAGTTAAGTCCCCCATCTAGAAGTCATGGGCTGACTTGATTTTTCAAGTTTGTGAAGGGCTAAACTTTGTAAATGATTGCAAATAGAGTTGCAGTGGAGTTAGACTATGAGGCCGTGGGGAACCCCGAGCAGCTGCTTGTGTTGAGAGAATGCCTAGAACTTCGCAGGCTCCCGCAAGCACTAGGTGTTCGATTTTTCCATCCCTGTACCTTGCTTACTGTGTCCCACCCACCAGCAGCAGGCTAGGCCCTGCGTGAAGAGGACGACTAACAGTGTAGGCTCTGGAATCACACCTCCAGGGTCACATCCCAGATTTACTTAATTTACAACCGTGGGCAAGTTATCTAACAGTAACAAGCCTCAGTTTCTTTATCTGTATGATGGAAATAATGATAGTAGTACCTATTTCATACATTTTGTTTAGAGAGATTTTCGCTATAGGGTACGTGTGCTCGCCAGACAGACAGAGACATAAAGACAGAAAGCGAGAAATCACCCCCAGGGGGGATGGCCACGCCACAATCCCTTCTCCTCCATTCTCCTCTCGGGATCTTGGGCACGCACGCACACGCACCCAGCGTGAGTTTTAAGCCACTGGGTCCGGGACGCGAACCACATTCGACTACATGGGAGTCCAGCGACATGGCCATTACACTAACTGCTGGTTCCCGGGATTTTTGGTTTTCACGTTAGGGACGCTCAACCTGAAGTAGTGACTGACACGTCTGCACACCTACTGTGTGCTGGGCACACTCTGTGCACCTCACATTTCTGGCTTATCCCATCCTTAGGTGACCCTCCAAAGGACAGAGTGGAAGAGGGAGAAGCTGACAGGGCAGGGCTGCCGGGCCAGCAGCCCAGAACCCACCTGCAGCATCCAGATGCTCCAGCTGTCGGTGGCCACGCTGTTGACGGTCTCGCTCATGAGGGCGATGAGCATGTTGAGCAGCAGCACGTAGGTGAGCAGCACGTAGGCGAGCAGCAGCAGCAGCACCACCCCGCGGAAGCGCAGCTGCTCCTGGAAGGCCAGCTCGCCCATGCCGATGGTGAACTTGAACAGCTCCAGGGAGGCAGCGCACGTGTGGGATGCGGTGAGGAGTGGGC